CCGCAAGTTCACCACCGAGAGCGACGTGTGGAGCTTCGGCGTGCTGCTCTGGGAGATCTTCACCTACGGCAAGCAGCCCTGGTACCAGCTCTCCAACAACGAGGTCAGCCCCTCCTCGGGGGCCCCCGCCGGCCCCGCCCCGCCCCGCCCCGGGGTCTCTGTTAGAACTCCGGCCCCTTCTGGCTCTCATCCCACGGCCAGCTCCCGCCCACCTTGTGCTCCCTCCGCCCGACCCTGTTCTTTCTTGCATTCTTCCGCCTCCTGTACTTGCCTCCACTTACTGGCTCCTGGGGAACCTGAACGCACTTTATAAATGGCCCCAGGCCCCTGCATTTTACAGACCGACTAGGCATTATCAGGGAGAAGGGAGAGGCACACGAGGGCCTGGCACTGCAGCAGGACGGCTGCAGGTCAGACTCTAGGAAGGACTGTCCTGCCTCCTCCCCCTCAGGGCTGGACACAGCAGAGCAGGCCCCAGGTGTTCTGTCTTCCAGAGCCGCTCCCCCGCCCCCTCCTTGGCTCACAGCTGTCAGTTTCCATTTCTTCTCCTAATGCAGTCTGCTCCCTGGAGGCTGGTGGGGTGGGGGAGAGGGTTATAGATTTTAATTTTCTCAAGCACTGAGAGAAGGAATGGAATTAGTGCCGCCTATAACCCAAGTCCTCTAATGGGGTGGGAGGGAAGGAGGGGAGGGGAGAGGCTCCAGGCCCCTTCAACCCGCTCTCTGCCACCGCCTCTTCTTCCTTAGATCCCTTAGCAGCTCTAGCAGTCCTTCCTGGAGTCTAACTCTGATCTTCCCTGCTGCAGTTCCTTTTCCGAGGAGTTAGGGCCCCACAGAGTGACACCCACAGTGATAGCACCTTCAAACGCCAGCAGCCATTTTTCAAGGCCTAAACCCGCAATCCTGCCCTGATTTCCTTTTGCCTCTGGAGCCGAGAGGTGGGGGGGCTCTGCCTTCCTCCCTCCAGCCCTCAACCCTGGGCTGATGGTGTTGGCACATGCCCGGGCCTCTCCCCTTCCTCGGCCCACCTGGCAAGTCTTCTGGGCATAGGATTCTGGCCCTTCGGGGAGCAATCCTCCCCCAGCCCCACCTTCCCAGAGCCTGTGTAGCCTGAATCCTTCCCACAGCTGTGCCAGAGTGGAAGGGAATCTTAGGGTTCGCTGCATCCTTTTAGATTATGAGTAGCCAAGAGGCCCAGACATGTTGTGGGGCCTGTCTTGCAGCCTCAGGGAGGCGGGGTCGTCCTGGGGCTGGCCTCCCTCTCCGGCCCCAGCCCAGTGTGCCCTCTTCTCTCTCCTCCCGGTGGCCCCAGGCGATTGAGTGCATCACTCAGGGACGGGAGCTGGAGCGGCCCCGGGCCTGCCCGCCGGAGGTCTATGCCATCATGCAGGGCTGCTGGCAGCGGGAGCCCCAGCAACGCCACAGCATCAAAGACGTGCACGCCAGGCTGCAAGCCCTGGTCCAGGCGCCTCCCGTCTACCTGGACGTCCTGGGCTAGAGGGCTGGCCAGGGGCTGGGGCTGAGGAACCAGAAG